AGACAGTATTTCATCGACCTCGGATTCCATGCTCCTGAGCGACAGACAACAGCGGACTTTCTGACTTCAGTCGGCGACCCGAACGAGCGCCAATTCCGAGCTGGCATGGAAGCCTCGGCACCCAAGACGGCTTCGGAGCTGGAGCCCGCTTTCCGCAAGTCCAGCATCTATCAGGAAACCCTTGCTGACGTGGATCGCTATGAGAAGGACATGGAGACGTCCAATTGCTCCGACACCAGGCAGTTCCAGGAGGCAGTCCAGGAGCAAAAGAGTAATAGCAAACTGGTCTCATCACAGTCCAGCTGCACGGTCTCCTTCTGGCGTCAAGTCATGGCCTGCACGCTTCGAGAGTTTTGGCTCTTTTGGGGAGACAAGTCTACGCTGTACACCAAGGTGTTCATCATCATTTCCAATGCCCTGATCGTCGGCTCGTTGTTCTATGGTGAGCGCCTGGATACGAGTGGTGCATTCGCTCGGGGCGGTGCTCTGTTCTTCTCGATATTGTTCCTTGGCTGGCTACAATTGACTGAACTGGTGCGAGCCGTTAGCGGTCGCGTCGTCATATCACGGCACCGTGACTACGCTTTCTACCGCCCGAGTGCCGTGGTCATCGCCAGAGTCATGCTTGACTTGCCGGTTCTTCTGGCTCAAGCCGTGGTCTTCACCATCATCCTCTACTTCATGGCGAACCTAGACATCGATGCCGGCAAGTTCTTCATCAATCTCCTCTTCGTCTACGTCAGCACTATCTGCATCACGGCACTCTACCGTATGTTCGCCGCCCTTAGTCCGACCATCGACGACGCCGTGCGCTTCTCGGGGATTGCACTCAACCTCTTGATCCTCTACGTGGGTTACACCATTCCAAAGACAACCTTGACAGGCGATGTCATCTGGTTCGGGTGGCTCTACTACATCAATCCGGTGTCCTACGCATACGAAGCGGTGTTGACGAACGAGTTCCATGGTCGACTCATGGATTGCGCTCCCTCGAATCTCGTGCCTCGAGGACCAAACGCAGTGCCGGGTTACCAAGGATGTTCTCTGGTTGGCGCGACCGTCGGCAACACACAGGTTCGTGGAGATGCCTACTTCGAGAACTCCTTTGGTTACTATAGAGCCCACCTCTGGCGCAATTTCGGCGTGGTTATTGCCTTTACGGTGCTCTACATCCTCATCACGGCCGTTGCGTCCGAAGTTTTCTCGTTCACAGGCGGCGGTGGCGGAGCCCTTGTGTTCAAGAAGACTCGCAAGGCGAAGAAAATGGTGAATGAAGAAAGCAAGCCATCGGACGAGGAGAATGCTGCGGTGCGGAGTGAGCCCGTCTCTAGTGCATCTTCGGACACTATGACGAAGGAGCGGAAGCAAGAGACTGTGGGCATCGCCGAAAGCAAGAGCGTCTTCACTTGGGAGAATGTCGAGTACGAAGTTCCGTATCAAGGTGGCAAGAGAAAGCTGCTGAACAAGGTCAACGGCTATGTCAAACCAGGGGTTATGATCGCGCTCATGGGCGCATCTGGCGCCGGAAAGACCACACTTCTCAACACCTTATCCCAAAGACAGACCATGGGAACCGTGTCTGGAGAAATGCTTGTGGACGGGCGTCCTCTTGGAATCGAATTCCAACGAGGCACTGGATTCTGCGAACAAATGGATCTGCATGATGAGACTGCCACAATCCGAGAAGCTCTGGAGTTTTCGGCCCTTCTGAGACAGGATCGGAACGTGCCCAGACAAGAGAAGGTAGACTACGTCAACAACATCATCGATCTATTGGAGCTCCACGACATCGAAGACGCCATCATTGGCTCGCTGGGCGTCGAGCAGCGCAAGCGACTCACGATTGGAGTGGAGTTGGCGGCCAAACCAGAACTGCTTTTATTTCTGGACGAGCCCACCAGCGGTTTGGACTCCCAGTCGGCCTTCTCCATTGTCCGGTTCTTGAAGAAGCTCTCACAGGCCGGCCAGGCAATCATTTGCACCATCCACCAGCCTTCTTCGATATTGATCCAGCAATTCGACATGGTCTTGGCTCTGAATCCAGGCGGCAACCCATTCTACTTCGGCCCCATCGGTGAGAACGGGTCAGCAGTGGTCGAGTACTTCGCAAAGAGAGGCACACAGTGCCCCCCAAACAAGAATGTAGCCGAGTTCATCCTCGAGACTGCCGCCAAGGGAGGGAAGCGCCGAGAAGATGGCAAACGCGTGAACTGGAACAAAGAGTGGCTGGAATCCGAGGAGAATGCCTCAATGCTCCGGGAGATCCGACGCCTCAAAGAAGAACGATCCAAGGAGACACCAAAAGCCGCGACCGAGCAACATGAATTCGCCGCGCCGGTTCAGGTTCAGACGTACGAACTCATGAAGCGCACCTTCCGCTCATACTGGCGAGATCCATCATACCTTTACGCGAAGCTTTTTGTGAGCGTCATCATCGGCATCTTCAACGGGTTTACCTTTTACAATCTCACCGACTCGGTAGCATCGCTGCAACAACGATTCTTCACCGCGTTCCTGATCCTTCTGATCCCCCCCACAATTGTCAACGGCGTGGTGCCCAAATTCTTCCAGAACCGTGCCTTGTGGGAAGCCCGTGAGTACCCGTCGCGCATCTACGGCTGGTTCGCCTTCTGCACGGCGCAGGTCGTTGCCGAGATTCCGGCCGCGATTGTCGGCTCCGTCATCTACTGGCTGCTGTGGTACTATCCGACCAATCTGCCTCGTGACAACGAGACGGCCGGGTACATGTTCCTGATGACCATGTTGTTCTACTTGTTCATGTCGTCGTGGGGACAGTGGATTTGTGCGTTCGCCCCCTCGTTCACGACCATTGCCAACACGCTACCCTTCTTTTTCGTCATGGTCTCCATCTTCAACGGCATCGTGCGGCCGTACAGCCAGTTGCCGGTCTTCTGGCGGTACTGGATGTACTACGTCAATCCGTCGACGTGGTGGCTGAGAGGTGTGCTGGCGGCGACATTGAAGGACGTCACCGTCCGATGTGTCCAGGGCGAGTCGACCTTGTATGACGCGCCGCCTGGCCAGACTTGCCAGTCATACACGCGGGAGTTCATCAACTCTTCGGGCCTGGGATATGTCACCACCATGGCCAACGGCACGTGTGCATATTGCCCCTACGCCACCGGGGAGGAGTACCTGTCGACGTTGAACACAAAGCCCGACGAGCAGTGGCGCGACTTTGGCATCTTCTTGGTCTTCACTTTCTCCAACTGGCTCTTGGTGTACTTTTTTATCTGGAGCGTGAGGGTCAAGAAGTGGACCTTCGGAATGGGTTACATCTTCGGCCAGGCTGAAGCGTTGATCAAGGCAGTGAAGCGCGTGGTGCAGAGAAAGTGAGAGGCTCGCATCAGGAAATCTTCAAGTGTAAGCCGATGGCGTGGTTTGATGTGTGGAATTTGGTGCGAACTGGATGCATTTGCCTCGAGAAATACCCGGGACATCAAGCCACGGTGACTAAGTTAGCCGGTACGTAGACCCGATGATTTGACGAGAGCGTGGCGTCGATCGATACTTGTACAATCAGGTTGGGACGGCGACCAAAATGTACCAAACAGTACACGAAAAGTTGGTCCCCGTTCAACTCACGAAAGAACCTTACATCCGCTAACCCTCATCATTGATGATGGCATCATCGATGAGAGCCTGAATTACAGTAATACCACTAGCACCCGGCGGAATAGAAACTCGATCACAGCTCAGACCTGAAGACGGACGACATGTGGCTGCGGACACGTAGCTTATGGCCCATTAATGCTCGATCCCGGTTCCCGCGAAGGAATATCCATCCATTGCTCATACTCGTAGCTGACCGGGACAGACATGGACGACGGAGTCGAAAGCAGCGCGCGCTTTTTCTTTCTCAAAGGGCAAAACCATAATTACTATAACTGCATGCTGCTACTGTATCGTGCGTGCGTGCCTTGTGAGTTACTAGGTGGGTGAGAAAGGGTCAAAGTTACTACGGTCTACCCTCGATGTCGTCTATTGAAACATACTATGTGGTCCCTCGCCGCTTCACACAACCAATACAGCTATACAGCTACACTCATGTGGAGCGTTCTGAACAGGTTAGAAAGTTCAGTGCTGTATGTAGAAGTGGGAGCTGCCGCTTTGGACTTGCATAAGATCCAGGGTATGTTTCGAGAGACGATTACAGGGGTAGACCATAGTCAGCGGAGAGCTTGCAGGTTGCTTAGAGTACCCCAGTCAGCTTAATGGCTGATCTGGCGTTCCCATTCCGGATACTCAGTACCTACAGTATGCACGAACGAAGATTTCGGGATCGGGTGGAGATTGTGTGTGGATGGGCGCGGGATTTACTGTGTACATACTGTGTATATAGTGTGTATATAGTGTGACGTGTGGATGGGCCCCTGGTATATACTGTGTACATAGTGTATGTATACTGTAACACGTAGATAGGCCTAGGATATAGTGTGTATATACTGTGTATATACTGTGTATATACTGTGTACCTCGAAACGACGTTCCTGCTCGGGAGGCCATGTTGGGACTCGGGTGTCTCGTGCCCTTTGGTGCCTGTGGCATGTGTATGTGCACGTGCACGTGCATGTGCCTCTAGATGATAACTGACGAGAAGAAATGCGCCACAAGAAGACACGGACAGGACCAAATCATCCTTGTCGGAGCACTCGGCTTTGGTGTGACCTCCTCACCGTCGATCCTGTCCTTAAACTCACTATACGGGCGGCGGCCTGTTGACGGACGGGAGAACGGTTTGACGACAGACGCCTTATGGTTGCACTTACTTGGGTACCTTGAGTAGGGCTGTATTGGAGGTGGGAGCGGCGTACTGTACAATAAATGGAATGGATAAAGAGGCATGCTTGTGAAAGGTAGGAAGGGGAATGGATCAAGAGACGTCCCCATGCTCATCGTGTATTCGGCGAGACGAGGCATCCCAGGTCCATCGTGATTGTGCGAAATGTCGAAGATATCAATCTCCTGAACACATCTGCTTAAGCCCAGTTGATTATCTTCTCCTCCTGCCAGAACTGTCCGTTTGACCCCTTGATATCACCTATCGCCAACAGCACAGGCGTCTGCGCTCCCTGATCCGGCGTCTTGGACCCCCTGCCCTTGGTCATATCTGTGTTCACATACCCTGGGCAACAGCTGTTGACCAACACGTTACTTCCACCCGCGGCATTCAATTCTGCAATCGTCTTGGTCATGCCGATGACACCGGCCTTGCTGACCGCATAAGCCGCGCTATGCCAGTCTGGCTGATGCGTTCCTTTGGACACGGCCGAGGAGAACTCCTCCATCAGCTCGGTGATTTCTTCGGGTTTCTTGGCCTGGAGGAATCGTGTTCTGATGCCTTCAGAGTACTTGGACTTGCTCAGCTGACCCGCCATGGACGCGACATTGACGAGGCGGCCTCCGTCTCTGATGTGTGGCAGAAATTGCTGCGTGGCTTCTAGCGTGCCGAAATAATTGCAATGCAACGTCTTTTTCACCACATTCTCGTCAAACCCATCCATTGCCACCGCTGCATTGTTGATCAAAAAGTCTATTCCGTCGGGGTGCGTCTGTTTGATCTTCGCCGCAAAGTCATCGATGCTCTGCTTGCTGTCGATGTCGAGGGGGAGATATTCCACGTCGGTGAGGCCGCCGTGGCTGTGCAGCGCTTTGGCTTTCTGCAACTGTGCATCCGTCCGGAGGGATTCGAGGGCGGCTTTGCCTCTTTCTTCGTTGCGCGCCGTCAGGTAGATGAGGAGAGGACCGGTGTTGAGGGGGGACTTGGGATACTGCAGGGCGAGTTGACGGACAATCGCCAGGCCGATGCCCTTGTTGCCGCCAGTCACGGCGCCGACGCGTGCGTAGGTGGTCATTTTGTTGTTTGACGGAGTGAAGAGGTAAGTGCAACGCAACCAAGGGAGACTCAATATAATACACCGAGAGGTTCATGAATCATGTCTCTCTCTGAAGCCTACCTTACCTTCGGCGTTAGGCGATAGCAACGGACGTGTCATAGACTTGTCTGCGCCTTCGCATTCGCAAGCATTGTCTCTTTAGAACTCATGGTCCTAGTGGCTGTTGGCATGCACAATTGCAATGTCGTCCGCGTGCGTCACGCGCGGTCAGCATGGCCCAGGCGACCGCTGGTCCTCATGGAACGAGGATTGCAGAATGTCCAATGGAACCCGAATTGGCTGGCTTCAGAAGTATTATACTGCGCAGACAACCCCGATCACGTGCTGCTTTGGTTTGTGTCGCCGCTTATTGGCCGGCGGCGGAATTTCGCTTCCGAAGCTGCGTTGGAGCCGAGGCCAACCGCTTCGCTTGGTGGTGACGTTTTGCGCTGCGCCGAAGATCGAAACCGCCGAAGCATTTCCCATCTAATTAAGAGCCCGCGATGTGAAAACGGCCGACATTTCCCTTGTCCAGCTCAGCACCGGTCAATAGAAGCCTCAATGGCCTCCAAACACGTTTCCAGGCCTCTGCTGAGGCTCGTCTCACCTACGCAGCCATGTCGTTCGGTCTCGAGAGCCTCCGTGTCTCCATTGAAAGCTTCCCCCGCATATCGTCGAGCTGCGAGTTCTCGTCATGTGTCACGAGCCACGAGACCGCTCTTCGTAGCTGGTCAACGAAGAGCTATATCCAGCAGTTTACAGCGTCGCTACGCGGACGCCGACGAAGGGTTTGATCCCGCCACGGTTGAACGCGAGTCCGACGAAGTCGACGTCTGCATTGTGGGCGCCGGGCCAGCGGGCTTGAGCGCCGCCATCAGGTTAAAACAGCTTGCCAATGAAGCCGGCAATGAAGAGTTTCGGGTGGTGGTGCTGGAGAAGGCAGGAGAGGTGGGAGCGCATATCCTATCAGGCAATGTGCTGGAACCAAGAGCCATAAACGAGCTGATCCCCGATTGGTTAAGCGAAGACAATGAGAATCGCTTCACGGGAGCGACACCCGCGAAGAGCGATACGATGAGATTCCTGACGAAGAGCGGCTCGATCCCTCTACCAGCGCCCCCACAGATGCACAACAAGGGCAACTACATTATCTCACTGAGTCAATTTACGAAGTGGTTGGGCGAACGCGCTGAAGAGATCGGAGTCGAGATTTACGCTGGTTTTGCCGGCGCGGAGATTCTATACAACCGTGAGGGTGCTGTCAACGGGGTTGCTACAAACGACCAGGGCGTAGGCCGAGATGGGAAAGCAAAAGCCAGCTTCGAGCGAGGAATGGAGTTCCACGCCAAAGTGACGTTACTGGGCGAGGGGTGCCATGGCAGTCTGACCAAGCAGGTATCGAGGAAGTATGATTTGAGGAGAGACTGCCAGCCTCAGACATATGGCCTAGGGCTGAAGGAAGTCTGGGAAATCCAACCGGAGAAGTTCAAGAAGGGTGAGATATCGCACACCATGGGTTTCCCCCTGAGCAAAGATACCTACGGTGGTGGCTGGATGTACCACTTTGGCGACAACCTGGTGAGTTTGGGGTTGGTGGTTGGCCTGGACTATTCCAATCCTTGGCTCTCCTTATATGGCGAGTTTCAGCGGATGAAGCTGCACCCGTTCTACAAGTCCGTGCTCGAGGGGGGCAAGTGCATCGCATATGGTGCCCGAGCTCTCAACGAAGGTGGCTTTCAGTCAATACCGAAATGTTCATTCCCGGGTGGCGCTCTCATCGGCGACACAGCCGGTTTCCTCAACGTACCTAAGATCAAGGGAACGCACACGTCGATGAAGTCCGGGATGCTGGCCGCTGAAGCTGCATACGAAGCTCTCCAGAACAACAAAGGCGAAAACACCGTCTTCCTGTACAATTATGAGGATTCACTGAGGGAGAGCTGGATCTGGCCAGAGCTCAAAGCCGTGCGAAATATGCGGCCATCATTCCACACTTCTCTCGGCATCTACGGTGGCATTGTGTATTCTGGCCTAGAAGCATTTCTCTTCCGAGGCATGACGCCCTGGACGTTGAAGCACAAGCAACCTGACTGGGCAGCCACCAAGCCCGCGGATCAGTTCCAAAAGATTGAATACCCGAAGCCTGATGGCGAGATCACGTTTGACATATTGACCAGTGTGTCTCGGACTGGTACTAACCACGAAGAAGATCAGCCTGTGCACTTGCAGGTCAAGGATTGGGACGCCCACGCCCAGAAAGAGTGGCCGAAGTATAAGGGGGTGGAGAACCGGTTTTGTCCTGCGGGTGTGTATGAGTATGTAGAGGACGACACGAAGGATATCGGTGTGAGATTCCAAATCAATGCTCAGAAGTAAGTACCCGGTGTCTCTACCTACTGGGGCACGATGCTGACCAAAGTCGAATAGTTGCATTCACTGTAAGACGTGCGATATCAAGGTGCCGGATCAGGATATCAATTGGCAAACGCCTCAAGGAGGCGAAGGCCCAAGCTACAGCATTACTTGAGACCCCAGCAGGCATCGGTACTGGAAGGACGTCCATATTGGCGATCTAGAGACAGCGCAGAGCTTCTACATAAGGAATGCTTCGGTTGTGACATAGTGCTATCCGATGGCCCTCGCTTCACTCTTACTGAAGCTATCCGATAGGGGTGCGTATAGTACACAGTTGGCCGAGGTCTCATTCGCGTCTGATGACTGAATCGAAGCGCCAGTTGATGGGTCTGTCTAAACAGTCAGGTTTTCTATAAGTAGGTTGAGAGCGAAGTTAAACAGAAGCATAAGCAAGGGTAGAGCAAAATGAGCAATCGGTGAGGGATAAGGTGAAGTTAGAAGCGAATATGCAAGAGAATTGGTCTAACAATGACTTGGTTATAATTGACGACCCAGATCGAGACCTCGAGTCATGGCTGCTTTCGTGTCATCTTGATCTCTTCCATCTTCAGTTCCTGCTAGCAGAGGTCGCGTGGTTGGCCTCATGGAGATCCATCCAAGTTGAACCGCCCGAGGACTGATCCACTCGTCCTCCTCGTCCTTTGTGTTCTTTGCGCAAGCCTTGTTATGGGGGTTCCGGCGCGCCTCTGCGGTCTTGCCGAATACTATCTCAGTAGCATGCTCCTGCTGCCTAAATTGGGTCTTGGGTGTTCCTCTCAACCATTCCCTCGAAGCCTGTTGCACAATGTCGACCGAGCTGAAGAGGAGACCCGCCGTCTTCGAGTATCCAGTAAGCGGATCTGCGCAGTGCTCAGATCTTGCCGGCTGGACGCGTGGAAGGCGCCATCCTACTGGTCCGGGGTGTTGATATGGAGGCCTACTACGTACGCAAGTCCGAGTGTATGAGACGCGGGTGACGCTTTCTGCAGCAGTAGGCATGCTGGCAGTCAAGGTGAAAGTATTCATGGTTCCCATATCCTGTTGTTCATGCGATATGGCTGTCATGCGTGGATGTCTTTTCAGACCCCGCTGCGACCTACCTATTGTACCGAGTACTGACGACCGTTTGAGGCAAGAGCACGAGAGTGACAATGCTCATCCGTGACCTCTAAGCTCAGTATGTGTGAAAGACCAACGCCCTTGGCGTGGCTTGCGCCTCGCCTTCGCTGGCGCTGGACATGGCAGTGACTTACTGTGGCTGCCACAATTGTGACGCTGATCCGACACCAACACAACCGTCTGTACCCCATTGTGCTGTCACGCAGCAAGCACGCACGGCTCATGCGGCAGACTCACCGACCAACGCCTCTCGGCTCTGCAAGTACTGTGGTCACACCGCACAACCATCTTGAAAGGCTTAACAAGTGACGTTGGAGCACTGGAGTGCCGATATCCAAAGAGCCTAAATGCTGAAGTCGCAAGCGGGGTTCATACTGGCGATCGTCATTGCTGCAACACCTCGCTCAAGCGACCGTGAAGACCAGCTGAACAAGGCAGGTCGATCGTTCTATACCGGAGATGCTTTGTCAACTAGCATCATGGTTCATATTGAATTCAGCCGAGATATCTAAGGTCGTGGCTCGATTCTAGTTGGAGGAAGAAGTATTTCCTCCGCACTCTTCCCCAGATTTCTGAAAGTCTTGGGAGTCCGTAGTCCGTAGTCAAGCTTCAAGACATACTGCGTAGTACAGGGCCTCGAGATGCAGCTTCTTGGACGCTTTTGTTTGGCGTCGGCGGCTCTCTTCTATGCCACATCAGCAGCACCGGCTTCTAGATGCCCTTCAGCTTCAGCTAGCCCTTCCTTGGCCACCAAGAATCCCCTCCTGCCGAATCCATTCGAGTTCTTGTCTGGGGCACCTGTCTCCAGTAAAGCAGATTGGTCTTGTCGACGCGAGGAGATCTCGGCATTATTCCAACAATATGAGCTTGGCATCAAACCTGGCCCGCCCGAGAATCTCGAATCCAACTTCCAGAAATATGCAGACGGTACGGGCGGCAATCTCACCTTGACAGTTTCGAATGGCGGCAACACAATATCCTGGACGGCCACGGTCGTCTACCCCAACACGACGACTGGGAGTGGTCCGTACCCGGCGTTAATCGCCCTCGATCTCCTGACGATTCCGGCGCCCGATGGTGTCGCCATAATAACGGCATTCGTTTCCGAGTTCGCACAACAGGACAATACCACTTCTCGAGGAAAGGGGTTGTTCTATGAGCTTTATCCGGACACGTCGCCTCAAGCTGCCGGTGCGTTGATGGCCTGGTCCTGGGGCGTCTCGCGCATCATGGACGCCGTCACCACTACCAGCGAGACAGGCATCGATCCCACGCGGGTCGGGGTTGTTGGGTGTTCTCGATGGGGAAAGGGCTCGCTCGTGGCCGCAGCGTTCGAGGAACGAATTGCCCTGGGCATTGTCCAAGAATCAGGCTCCGGTGGCGCGGCGTGCTGGCGGTTGTCTGATGTCGAGAATATCAGCGTCAACGGTAGAGACACGGTGCAGACCGCCCACGAGATCGTCGGCGAGAACGTCTGGTACAGCCAGGAATTCGAGGCGTTCGCCAACGAGACCGACGGCACCCAAAGACTGCCATTCGATCACCACATGCTGGCGGGCCTTGTGGCGCCCAGAGGGCTCTTTGTCGTTGACAATCTTGGATTTGAGTGGTTATCGCCTTGGAGCAGTTACGGATGTATGACTGCTGCGCGAGAGATCTACAGGGCTTTGGGCGCCCACCAAGCATTCGGCTACAGCGAAGCTGCTAACCATACGCATTGTCAGTTTCCCGTCGCCGATCAGGGGGCCGAGCTCGACACGTATGTGAACAAGTACCTGCTGGGCCAGCAGATTCAGTCAAACGTGTTTAGGACGGAAGGCAATTTCACTTTTGACCAGGCGCAATGGATTGACTGGGAGACTCCAGCCCTCAGCTGAACGCTCAACTGGTGGTGAATCTTCCAGGCTTGGAGGTGACGATGCTCCCTACCTCGTGCTTTGGAGCAGTGTAACAATGAGGTTGGCTGGAGAGGGTCATCAATGCCATCGTCCCCCAGTAGCTTGTCCAGAGGCGGACGGTGTAGCATGCTCAGTCAGAGAAAGGTAGTGGTCTGACCGGAAAGCATATCGCAACAGGAACAAAGAAAGTGTCGGATCCATCAGCGGGTTTTCGCATCGGTGGTGGTCTGATGCGGCTTCATTCAAGCAGTACTGAGTGGTCCGTAGTCCAAAGACCATAATCGTCCCGAAGGATTGCCTCCTCATCTACACACTACAATCCGCCTTGGATATCCGTCAAAGATACTCCGTACTGTAGCAGTATGTGCACACCAAGAAGCCCAGGGCGCAAAGCCCAGCGCCTTTGCTAGCTCGGCCCATCCGAGTAGGGACACCGCTGACACCAGCCTGAACGGTAAGGCTGCAATTACGAGGGGAAGAGAGGCTGTCGCCTGAAATGGCAGGCTTTCGTTTGTTTGTGCATTAACCTGGCTATGACAGATCGGCGGCGTGTGAATGGTCAGAGCCACACCGGTTTGGGACTTTGCTCGCCCGACCATCAGGATCAGGACCCCGTATCCGAATGCCACTATTGGTTGTTCTGCTGTCATGATCCCTGCACGGGACCAAAGCGATGGACCGGGGTGAGGAATGCCGGCCTGAAGCCAAGCAAGCTTGCGCGGCACTCTGTACCGTGTACCCAGTGGTGTCCGTGTGGCGGGCGTTGGCATGTGAAAAGTTTGAAACCGGGATTGCAGGCAACCCTTGCTTGGAGCTTGTTTGGGGCGCGTCCCAAGCGTGAAATCACCAGGAAGTCATGACTCACGCCTGCATCCGACCCTCCTTTCATTCTTCTTGTTGTGCTAAAAAATTTCTCCTTCTTTCAATCCCCCTCGTATTCCGCCTGCAAAGGACGGCCACCCTTCAACATGACAAACAAACATTGACAACGACTAGTGAAAAATGGTTTGTTCGGAAGGCAGCTGAGTGTCCTGTTTTCAACTGCCCCCCCGGTGCTGGGGGTGTGCAAACCGAAGAATGAGCCCGGGCGGCAAACCCGGCCCAGTGCCCAACCAGCGGCCACCCACTTGATCTTCCCTCACCCTCCCACCTCTACGCGTTACTGGGTATCTGCTCTACCCACTTTGCACTGTAAACCTTATGGGTACCAACGTTACGGAGTCTCCGCGATGAAAATTTTTCTGTCTTCAGCTTGTTACATCCATCTTCGTACACATCCGGCTTTGGTGATGGCAGACACAAGGCAGAATATTTGCTTTGCAACAAGATTCTTGGTGCTGGTGCATCATGCAGCCCTTAGTTTAGGGGCAGGGCAGGGCAGGGCGGATCAAGCATGAGTGCGCCAGGAGTGGCATGTTTCGCTCCTGGTGGCATGAAGCAGAGGAAAGGGGTGCAGCAAGTGGCGGGGAGGGATGGTGGCAAGCGACGCAGATGAGCGCCGAAGTAGGACTAGCGTCTCTTTGTGTCACCTCCGGCCCACTTTAGCGTGATTTCCATTGATGGGGTTTGCTGGCTCCTGCATGGCACGTGAGTCATTTGTGGATTTGGGCCGTCATTTGAATTTGTACTTAAACCGGGCGGCATCCCAGGTTGCGAGCAACCTGCTCCTCCTGACATCTCCGGTATTACTTCGGCTTACCTTCCCCCGCCGTATCTCACCTTGGCCAGGCGTCAAAGCGCAATTTCTGTTGCCAGCCTGCGATCACCCTCCCATCTCATTATCCTCTCCCAGGCATCGATTCGCTTCCACACGATATCGTGCCGCCATCAAGTTGGGCGCATCCCGCACAGAAGATCGGAAGTCACGAGACAAGATCCCACCTGCGCCGCGCCTGCCACTCTTTCAAGGGCAAAATAAAGATCGAAGAAAGAACGAACCGCAAATAGACAGTCTCTTTCCGCGCATTAGTAATTCGCAATCGCACTCTCGCCTTCTTGCTTCCTTCTGCTCCTGTTTCCCACCTCGTCGTCACTCCTCAGGCCAGGCGAAAGTTCAAGTACCAGATCCGATCTGATCTGAGGAACAAGACTCATCGGTCAATCCATTGGAAGTAGGGCAGTTGTGTTGTAGGGGAGACATTGAGTTGTTCATCTCCCACATCTCGGTACGATACCATCGCATCCTTTCACTTCTACCTCGTTCCTCCGGTCGGTTCCATCGAGCGTCGATCCGTCGTCGTCGTCGTCGTCGAGTTGGCGCGAGACCTGCCTACGGCGCAAGTGGAGTATCCCTGACTTCCACTACCGCCCTGCCACCGATCCGACGCTTTCTCCCTTACCCTCACCTCTGCCGCCTGCAAACAAAATTACCTCATCCTGACCTGACTTTCTTCCTTCCCAGACTGCTTCCAGCCATCCTTCATCGATCTCTCTCATCGACAAGGACGACCTCTTTGCGAACCGCTTCATTGCGACCGCACCGAAAACCTCAACTCTTGCAATCATGGAGTCCCTTACCACTCACCCCTCCACTGCGCAACAGGCCAAAGCCTTCACCTCTCCTGCGTCGTTGTCATTTCCCGGCGGCGCTGGAGACTTGACACCGCCCTCCTCTGAGAAAGACGGACAAAACCTCAATGGTGGCTCCTACGCGGACGGGAAGATGGGTCAGCCTCAGGGACAACTTGCACCACAAACCCCTGGCGCAACTCCCGGCGCGGGAGTGAGTGGTATCGTGCCCACCTTGCAGTGAGTATTGACCATTTGTTGTCCTTGACAAGGTCAGCAGAGGTTAACATGCTCGAAGAAACATCGTCGCCACGGTCAACCTTGACTGTCGTCTCGATCTCAAGACCATTGCACTCCATGCACGCAATGCTGAGTACAATCCCAAGGTAAGCCCTGCCTCAGTCTGTGCTTTGTTCAAGACGCTCGTACTGACTGCCCCAGCGTTTCGCGGCTGTCATCATGCGTATCCGTGATCCCAAAACCACCGCTCTGATCTTCGCGTCAGGGAAGATGGTTGTCACTGGCGCCAAGTCCGAGGATGATTCAAAGCTTGCGAGCCGCAAGTATGCTCGTATCATTCAGAAGTTGGGCTTCAACGCGAAATTCACCGACTTCAAGATCCAGAACATCGTCGGCTCGTGTGACATCAAGTTCCCCATTCGATTGGAAGGTCTTGCCTCGAGGCATCACCCTTTCAGCTCCTATGAGCCTGAGCTATTCCCGGGTCTCATCTATCGAATGATCAAGCCCAAGATCGTACTGCTGATCTTTGTGAGCGGCAAGATTGTACTCACAGGAGCCAAGGTCCGTGAGGAGATCTACCAGGCATTCGAGAACATATACCCTACGCTAACAGGTAAGCCCTGCTCGACCCGTCACATGGTAGACCGAGACTGACGCGATCTAGATTTCCGCAAAGTCTAATCACTTCAGCCAAGTGCGGAGTCTCACAGCACTGTATCAACAAACAAGCACTTCTCCGACCGTCGTCACCTCATCGGAGCATGCCCAACTGCTTGCCTCTGCATCTTGCAGTCCAAGCTCCACCACCATCATACCACAACATCTTGCTTTTATCACTCGTGTTACGACTATCTACGAGCATTGCATGGCGTTTTGAGCGATAGTCCTTCATCTTGTTCCCCTGGCAGGCGCACCAAAAAGGCAATGGTGCCTGGGCCTGTTATACCACATTAGACATCGGGTCCTCATCGACAGAGCGGACATCACTTCCAATGGCGGTATTCGGCGCTGGTCGATTTCGCATACCGTCTCCCTTTCGGTGGTCTGGCTTTGTAAAGACAGACGCCAACCACCAAAATTGTTTTCCGGCGAAATGTTTCCGGTCACGGACGGGGTCACAGTCGAATTCTCGAGCTTGGTTGCTCACCTGAGACCAGTATTTTTGCGTCGGAAGATGACGTCAGCAGGATGGGATATTCACGTCCTGGTTGTCCAAATTGTTTGCAATAGAAAAGCGGCAGAGGCGAAGATGCTGAAGGGGAGGGCACGAGAGGGGTGATAACTCACCTGAATTATGGTAGTCGAGGCTGTTGACGCTCGTCCTGGCCTCGAGCCGAATGCGAGCCACAATAACATGAACTCGACTGCACAATAGCTCAATATGAAATCGTTCATCCCTCCAACGCATCGCAGCCTCTCTGCCTTGTTTTCCGTGCTTCCATCCCGGTTTGGTTCGTTGCCGTGTGTCCTGGACAGGATTTCTGACGCGTGCTTTGCCAAGCGGACTTGAGCTGAGGTACTCCGTACTGTGCATGATGTCGACTGCTTGAAGCTGTTGTAGCAGGACTCGGGACTTCCAAGGGTCTAATGCTGCCTTTTCTCGACAAGCACGGGCGTCATGCTGATCAGGAAGCCCCATGAGCCGCGACTCTTGGAACCAGTTCCAGGTCTGCGTGACGGAAACAAGGGTCGCACAGGCGTGATGCTGATCAGGAAGCCCATGAGCCGCGACTCTTGGAATCAGTTCCAGGGTTTGTGTGTGACACGGGGAAAACAAACAAAGCCCTTGCTTTGTCCCATGAGACGCGCGTCGAGGCGGCAACAACGACGACCCCGGAGCGTTTATCAATAATGTATTAGTAGTCCGGAGCTGATTGATTTTGTTTTCTTGCCCGGTTGAAAGGAACAAATGCAGGCGTCAGCAGAGATCGAGGAATATTCGCCCAAGTAATGAAGGAACCGAGGACGAACTAGTGTAGTGTAGTGTAGTGTAGTGTAGTGTACTGCGTAGTAACGGAGAACTCCAAGGAGCGATAAAGGGTAGGCAAGGCAAGGCAAGGCACCAAGGAAGTAAGGAAGTCAAGAAGGGTAAGTCTGGAAGTCTGGAATAAGTCCTGAGGGGGAGTGAGGTGAGTGGGTGAGGAAGGGAGGAAAGGATACTTCCGACTCTCTGTTGGAAAAATCGAGGATACTTACATAGACGTAGTCGTAGCCGTAGTCGTGGCCGCGTGACTCTCTCTCTCTCTCTCTCTCCCTCTGACTGATCGTGTCGCGTGGATGCCATTAATATCTCGAGAACATCTTACTGTCATTCAACTACCTGGGTCGAGATTGCGCTTGAAAAGGAGGTAGGTAGGTAGGTGGTAGCAAGAGGGGTGAGAGGGGTGAGAGGGGGTTGTTAATTCGTAATGTCAGGGCGCGTGGGCATTGTATGAGCACTCACTGTACAAGTACAAGTACCCAATCTGTTGATTAATGTGTGTTTGTGCTCGGCCTGTCGTCGGTCAGTCGGTCAGTCGGTCGGTCGGTCGGTCGGTCGGTCAATCAGTCAGTCAGTCAGTCAGATCTCACTCGGTCGCAGGATCAATGTCCGTTTGCTGGTCGGGCTGGCTAGGTACTAGCAGGTACTGTATCTGTCTCGGATGCATCGAGTCCGAGCCTGAGTCAGATGTCCTGTCACTCGCACCAGGACTCGGATGTCGAATGAACTCGGCGTCGGATTCGGTAGGGTTCGTATTTTAGTCGCGTGCTTGTCACATCATACGCATACGGCGCAGACATGGTAGTAGGAGAGGAAAAGTAAGGTGGACGATTGAGGTTGGGCGCCTCCAGCATGTGGAAATGTGGCCGAGGACGGGGGCCGGAAGGACAGGAATAGACGAGAGGAGTAGACGAGGGAGAAGGATAAAAAGGTCGGGAGGACCAATGTCAAGGTACCTAAAGGTAGTAATTACACAGTCGTATAAATGGGTACAAAGCCACATACACAGTAAGCTGCGGTGAGATGGATGAGGTAGATACCTGTGCTTAGGTCCTCTGCACGCAGAAGTGAGATCCGTCAGTCAGTTCCTGCTACTCGTACCATGAACTCCGCACTTCGGTCCCAGAAGTCATTGTTATTTGAGGCTGAGGTCTAGACCGGGCGAGGGCAGGGCTGAGGCAACGAAGGGATGGGTGGGTGGATCATACAGTTGATCTGTGTACACCAATTCTGTCTCGTATCGAGTGAGTAGTGTGTCCTCGTAGCGGACTCCTTACTCGGCTGGGTAGAGCGAGTCTGTGCAGTACGCCAGTACGCCGGTATGTAACTTTCTGATTGTTTTTAGGAGTCGGGGGCAGGAATTAGATGCTGGATGTTGGATGCTGGATGCTGGATGCTGGCTCGTGGCTGACAGCTTACGGCTTGTGACTTGTGACTTGTGATTTGCTTGGTTGCGAAAAATAACCTCCATTCATACCGTCGGGTGCGCAGTCGCAGTGGCAGCCGTGACTGAAGAACACAAGAAACAGACACGCCAATAGTATGGAGTTTCATGTCGTGCCTTGAGTTGAAAATGACCTGCCTGGAACTGGACATGTGTCTCCGGTCTAGCTGGTAGAACCAAATCACCTTCAGTGACAGCTCAGTTGCAATCATTGATATCTTGGTTCACATGTTGTGTACCCTTCCGAAGGACCTGAACCAAGCTTCCTCCTCCTACTACATTCACAGCTTTGCAAGACCTGACTTGTGCTCAGCAAGACCTCTCTTTCTCTTCATCTCCTCCGCCAGGAGCATTCCCTTTGGTCCGCCTCGACTCCCGTCTGCGCAGGCAATAAACTCTTCTCCTTCCCCTTGCCTTCTGATCACTTCCTTCAATTCTTCTTCACTCCTCCACCTCCAGATCTCTGCCAGCTCGGGCTCGACTTTCCCTTCCATGGCCGCGACAATCTTGTCGCCGATGACGGGGAAGAATTTGAAGCCGTGCCCGCTACCGCCGGTGGCGAGGAAAAGCCGCTTATACGCCGGATGATACGTGATGAGAAAATCGCCCGTGGGTCTGTGTAGGAATGCGTTAAGCCCCAGATCAGCCTGCACATGCAAAAGCCTGGAGGCAAGAGAGGACGGGAAACTTACGTATCACAATACCAGCAGATCCTCGTCCGCACGAACGGCCGATCTGCCATATGAGGAACAAGTTCGCGGAGTGCCCCTCGTAGGGCTTCCTCGGCCTCGAGAGGGATGGGCACGCCCACGTCCGGCACACTGACTTCGACGTCCCCGGAAGTGGCGGCCCCATCCACGACGCCAGGCCGAAGTGTCTGCTTCGGGATGTTGACTGGATTTCGATATCCGTAGCCATGCCTCGCGACTTTCAAGAGCTTGTCCCGCGGTGGGATGATGAACATCCCACTGCTCTGGTTGATGATGGTCGGTCTGGACCCCATGGCGGCTTGCTCTTCTTGGGTGATATCGAGAAAGGCCATGGTCTGACCAGTGGCTAGACATCGGCCCTGCAGATCAATGAGCGTGGGAGTCCACGCGCCGGCCGCCAGGACAGTCAGATCTGCCTGGATTTGTTCCCCTCCAAGCAGCGTCACCCCCTTGCACTCCATCGCCGACACGAGTAGACTCTGCACCCGTGTGTTGGGGCGGATGTCCACACGGTCACCTCCCTCGGCTCTGATCCGCCTCAAAGCATACGCGACGCAGGCTTCAGCGTTCGCCCAGCCGGAGTTGAAGTTGGCGTAGCCGTGGTCGCCGCTGACGCCCTCATAGCCCGTGGCCTTGCGGATCTCATCGCGTCCATGCAATTCCTGGATTTTGCCCAAGTCTATCCTCCCACGCTTGTCCTCCTGGGCGAGGCTGCGCACGTTGGACAGCGCTCCTGCCAAGTACGCATCTTGATCTGCCACCGCGGTCAACACGAAGCCTGGCTCATGGTAACGTCCCTCCCCGCCCCATGATTCCATCCTCCCGTCACGCCAAAGCTCCTGTGCCTGCAAAGCTAGTTGGGCATACTGCTTGTTTGCGTAGTCTGCGCGCACGATGCGGTTCGCATCCACGGAGGACCCAGACGGATTGGGCAACGTGGGCGAGCTGTCGATGATAGTTATCCGCGCGCCATCGTACGTCGGATTGTGGATCAACGAGAGAGCAGTGGAAAGGCCGAAGACACCGGCGCCGACGATGAGAATGTGCCGTGGTGCGGGATCATTAGACATCGTGGGCCTGATACAAAGAGAGGGGGTGGGAGGACTGCTTTTGGAAGTTCCAGGAGAAAGGGCGCAATTCAATCACCTACCAGGAACACAGACAGCCGTTATCACCGTACTTGACCTAGACAGGACGTTCTTCTCCGCAGAGTTAAGTTTCGAGATGCATGGGCTTGTCTTGTGCGCCCTTCAATACGAGCGTACGTTGCCGACCCCGAGATCGGCTTAAAGTCGGCTAAAAAGGACGCGAGATCGTTTTGCACTCGCCATCTTGCGGCTCACTCTGAACTGTGTCCACACCGTTCTGGCGATGCTGGACCACTCACACAAGAGTCACTGAATCGGGCTCGCAATATCTCGACCCGGCATGATGGCAGAAAGCGTCATGCACTGCCTGTCACGGTCGCGCGTTCCACACCTCGCACTCTCCATCTCGGCGAAACGCGCTTCTGCATCTGCATCTGCATCTGCACCTGCGTCCGCTCAATGCACGGCGAGATCCCTCGCTCAGCAGCAGCAGCGTGGTCAACCACTGCTACTGTTGCGGTCCCATCGGTCCTACATACCTCTACCTCTCGATGGCGTCGCGTGGGTATCTTCCCCGCGCAGGTGTGCCTCGACGGCGAGTCGACCTGCGCCTGGCCTCCCGCCGTCCAAACGCCAACCGCAACCGCAACACCAATCCAAACCGCGACCGACGCTCCAGCAACGCGCCTCCGCGGAAGAAGCTCTCAAGGAGATACGTAGCAGAGACGCCCGCCGACGCATCCACATGTCCTCGACCACCTACCTGTGGGGGTGCTGCCTCTTTGGCTTCGCACTCTCCACCTACATCATGTACACGTACATGTCCTACGCGCGTGCACTGGCGGAGTACGACACCGTGGATCTGCCGCAGAACGCCGACGTGAGTTCACGGTGGATGGACATGTCGCGCAACTTTGACGACGAGGTCGAGTTGTCCGAGAGGGCCATGTCTCTACGCCGCAAAAGGGAGAATCTCTGCCGCGAGGCGAGGGGACATGTGCTGGAAGTGAGTGCCGGCACGGGGCGGAACATGGATCTCTACAGGCTGGACCCGGCGCTGACGAGGGAGGAGAATAAAGTCAAGAGCCTGGTGGTTAACGATCTGAGTGAGATCATGCTGTACCAGGCCAGGAAGAAGTTCGACGCCCTACAGGACAAGATTCGTGATGAGAGGAGGAAGTTCAAGGGACCCCTGCACTTTGTGGTGGGCGACGCGAGTGATAGGCGGGTCATCAAGAGGCCTGATGGTGGATTCGATACGATTGTGCAGACGATGGGGATCTGCAGTGAGACAAATCCGGTCGCGTTCCTGAAGAGACTGGGCGAGCTGTGCAGACAGCCGGGCGAGATGAGTACTGGGTTGGATATGAAAGTCGTGGAGAGAGAAGCGCGGGAACGGCTCGAAGAGCTCAAGGAAGCTCGAGATTATGGTGCCGTCGATCCAGAGCAAGAGCAGCTGGATGCGCTCGTCGCCGAGGCAGGAGGGGATTTGGGAGGCAAGATCCTCCTGCTCGAGCACGGACGGTCGAATCTTGACTTCGTGAACCGGATCCTCGACAACGGCGCAAAGATGCACGCTGATCACTATGGATGCTGGTGGAACAAGGACATCGAGCAAGTAGTAAAGGATAGTGGGCTGATCGTGGAGCGGAAGAGAAGGTACCATTTTGGAACGACCTACGAGTACGTTTTGAGGCCGAGACCGAAACGCAACCCAGAGAAGGTGGGTTTCCCTGAAGCGGAGGGGCCTCGAGTCAATCCCAGTAAGGGGACGAAGTCGACGGCCTGGCTTGGATGGCTCGGGAGAAGTTGAGCAACATATAGGGTCGGGAAACCATCAAGAGATGAGCGAGGTGAGCAAGGCCGTACCTGATGGTCTTGGATGCGACGATAGGCTACGGACTGGCGTACGGATCGATTCAAACAAGGCTGAGGTTGAAAGGGTGTCAACTCGATGCCATGCTTGGCTCGACAGGTCAGTTTCCCTGGGTTTTGGTCGACTGCGATTTGCCTTATGCGCTACGGCTATCGTGCCTGGCATTGGGTGGGCATCAACGTGGCCAGGCCCAAAGCCCGGCCTAACAGCCAGCTCCCTAGAGTCTCCCCATGTCTCCGGCTCGGCGGCGGTCTTATGTGATCAAGAACAGCTGCGGATGGGGCATACCCTTCCAGCTCGGTCGAGCGCATGAAGTAATGATCGCGCAGTCGCAATTCCGGGCTGCATTGGCATTTTGTCACGAGCACGTGACTTCGCTCGAATCCACGATCTGCAATAACCCCACCGAGCGATTCTTGCTCACGTACAATGGACGAATACGAACGATGCCGAGAAGGAAAGAGAGATCCATCCAGCCATAACAGTTCTGCGCTAGCCGACGCGGACGGATAAATGTTCCCTCCTAGCGCAGCACACGCGACAAACTCAAGATGAGCACGGATGAGTTCATGTGTCGGCGAAATGTTCAACTGCTCAAACAAAGCGATCCGTTGAGCTGGAAAATTGTTGAAACCACAATGATGTAGCCTTCTGTCTGCCGGAGGCTGTCCGGCGTCCATGCGAGGCTCCACGCGAGCATATAGCCGCAGGCAGGCGGGTTTGTAGATCCGGATTAATGGTCCGGACGTGAGATGCCGATACATTGCTTTCGGCATCCCATAATCCATCGGAAGAATGAAAGCTGGGTAAAGTTGGAGGTGTTCGAGAGCTCGCTCCACGCGTATCGATCCTTTCCGCAGAGGTTATTGCATCATGATGCGGTTTCGCTGCAGCTAATATTCTGCTGGATTGGCGGAACTGCGAACAGTGCGGGTGAACCGCATGCACACTATCAGGGGGTGCATGAAGCTATTTCGTAGCTGTGGGGTTGCAGTTATTTCCAGGGATTCGAGTAGGAATGCTCTATAGCTGAGAGTGAAAATCGTTGTCAGGATGTTATTCCGAAGCATGCTCTGTGAGTCTACGCCTCGCTGGTGCTCGTGTCGTCGCTCGTTCGACCGTGGGCACTTGGGTCTCTTAAAGCACACAGCCATCGGTATCGCAGATGAAGTCACGTACGATCAAAGGTGTTGATGTGATTTCCCCATATTCACGTTTCATAGGGAGGCTCAAAATTCCGAAATTCCGTTTCAGACCGGATAGCTGAATGGCGTGGTGAAGAGTGCTGCTGTCACTCTTGACGCTGCTAGCTCCGGGCAAGCAACCTCGGCTATCCTGTGGGGTTGGAGACTCACCTCAAGTGTAAACCCCGGGTGGTCGCAAGCCCATGGTTCCTTGCTTGCCATATCTTGATCGACGTTCTCCAGGACCGTCGGTGCCGATATTCCACGTGAAGATAAGAGTATGGCTCGGTTGTGAGTGAGCGGCGCAATGCGGATGGACCAGCCGGTAAGTGGAGGAAGCGGCCGCAAAGTCTAATCTTTTTATTTCTTTGTTGCTGACATTTCGTGTCTGCGTCAATGGTGAGGTTCAATCGAGTAGATGCGATTAGGAGGGGAACGCAGCTCACGGTCCGCTGAAGCAATTGGGCGACTCCTGCGCTGGCACAAAGCGTCGAGGACAAGATGCGGTGGCAAAATCGCCCAATATGCATCGTTCAGGTCGCGTCTCTTGCACTACCGAATCAGGAAGAAGGGCATCATTCGGCGTCGCCCAGAGCAACAAGCTCGCGTGTGCAGCGCTCGCATATTCTCATCAGCTCTGGAAAACCAATCGGTCTAATTGAGGTGCGTCTCGATATGGTGCTAGTGCATCTGCGTCGAGTGTGAGGTGTCGAGTCAAGCGCCGTCCAGAAATGGATATTTTTGGGCCAACTCGTGTGTGGGCGGGCAAAATAAAAAAAAAATATCCTGACGCAATGGAGGGGCAGACGCTCGCTGATTGGCGGAGAGCTGGTCATGGTCGACCAACCCCTGAAGCCCGCAGCAAAGTTGCATCAAGTGCATCCAGGCGCGTCCGGTGTGAAACTCTCAACTCAAGCAAGCCCTGCAAAAACGTGCCGCACCTATTGCGAGTGGTCAATTGAGTCATCGCAGGTTGTCTTCTCTCCAACGTTCTTCCACACCACCATTTTGATCACAAGTGCTTACTCCTGGTGCGTGAATGAGTCTTGGCTGTTGCTGATAACTGCTATTACAACTGGTGGGTGACGGTCCGATACTGTCGGATGGATTAGTGAGGCGTGTGCGAGTATGTGGTGAGATGCAGGTGAACGTGTCAGTGTCATGCAGTTCGCGGTTACGAGGTTGGCCAAGTATCAATATTCTCCTGACAGGGCGCGCAAACCGGCCTCGGGCAGCGGCCTGACTTTGCCCTTCGGTTCGCCGACATTTCAGACAGGCCGTGTTCATTGATCTCTTGAGACAGCGAATATCACACCACATATGTCTCGTTCGAATGGCGCAGTTGCCGTGTTGAATGCAGCAGGCGCCGGCTTGGTACCTGTCCCCTTTCTCGGAATCGGCGATGGCTGAACTATCTGGATAATCGTGAATCTCGAATCACCTCGTCGGATGAAGACTGGGAGAGGGTTCCGGAGCCGATTTGGATATGAGCGACCACCACCACGTAACAGGTGGAGGTTTGCAACACGACGGATTGGGAGACTTGACAAGTGACTGGCGTCGGGCAGTCGTTGTTGAAAAGTCTGGCAAGTGCATCCGCGAAGTCAGCGATCAGGTTTTAGATCGCGAACAGGCAGGTCAAGCGTTGTGCTTGCCTCAATCATGCTAGCCGGGCCCCGAGTGGACATGCTGTGGATAAAGAATAACCCCGGTTGCACCTTGGTGACTGGTCGAGCTTCGCCCGGTGGGCTCTTCGGATCTCTTTCCACGGAACTGAGTGCAGGCGCGGGACCCATTAAACCCAATTATTCGGACCATCGCCTCCAGGCATCGCGAGCGCCATTTTCTAGGTAGGATTGCAGACCCTTAGGTATCCATCACAGCGCCCACGAGATTTTTCGTTAAGCTGCTAATCTCATGTTGACATCTGCTCTCCTCTTTTCTTCGGCTTCACTTTTGCTTCACGGCCTTCTCAAGCTTCCACTCTGGACCTCGTTGTCTTCAACTTGCTGCCAGTCGACGTAGCGCACGTCTTCCTGTATTCTAGAGCGTCTTTCGCCTGATCCACCTGCTCCTTTCAGCAACCTTCTCACGCGACCCCAACCCCGACCAAATAGTTCGGACCCTGAAACTCTGCTCGCATCAGGCTACCATCACCGCATCTTTGAACCTTTTGCGCAGACAGATCAAGCCGCTGTCAAGATCCATACACCAAAGGGAACACATCACATTTGTGTCTGTGATCTACCAACCGTGCTGTTGGCATTGCTTACCGCCGTTTGCCCCAACACCAGTCGACTGGTCGGCGAAAGATCTCTGGACGCAAGGAGGCGAAGACGCAGCCAGTGAAGCTGATCCCTGCTCCATCCTGAGAGTTCTCATTGCTCCACGATCCGGCACCTTGCATTGCAGCCACGCATTCCAGCTGCCTTGATCCTCCAATCGCGCCCCTGGGCTGCACGTACCCATCTGTCTAAACACTGCCCGTCCGTCACATCTTTCGCCCTCCCTTGTCCAGCACTACGCAGCACTAGTCCATCCTTCGACTGGTGTCGCCGCAGCCTGAATCATCATTCCGCCATTCGACTATTCCACCATCCCAAAAACGATAATTCCCTACCTTGGGAGTCTTCCAGGTTACAGAACTCCGTTCGCTTGTGTACACAGGGCTTTCATCTACCCTCTTATCCGCTGTCGTGCCTCCTGTTGTTATACAACGTCTCGACGACAACGTTCCCTCCATCCGGGCCCGACACATGACAGTATCTCACCATGCCTTACAACACCCGTCGGAAATCGCTCTCTTTGCCTTCGCTGGGCATTCATCTGCCTAACGGGTCTCGCGCACACCGCCCATCCCCCAAGACTCCTACACCACCCGCTGAGTCCACTACTTCTCCTTCACATCCAGCGAAGAAGCTGAAGCGTTCTCACGATGGCGATGAACCTCTCTCACCTGTCTCCTCGCCACGCTCCAAGGCTGGCTCGCCCTCGATCGACCATTCAGCGGCAACTATAGTATCCCGAGCCGCAGCCGGATACACTCCTCCTGCATCTCCAAAGCTCGGTGCGCCAGGCCGGAAAGTTGACACAGACGGCATCAACGACGACATTGTCATCGCTGTGATCGAGCAGCTGGAAAAGACAGGGAATCGACCACACCTCATCAAAGATCTTGCTACAATATTGGCATCGACCAACACCAGTATTGCCCAGTAAGTTCTCCGTAATCAATCACCGGAAAGCAATGTACTAACGTGTCTGTCACAGCTCTGCTAATCCAGCTGCATTATTGTCATCCCGCCTCAGCCTATACCTCAAGCGGTCATGGACTGCTTTGTCGCCGTGCCCGTTGGCGAAGGAGCTGATACCGGTCCACCCCCGGAAAGTCTTCTTCTTCCTCACCACCCAACCACGAATGCCTTTGCCCTCCTCATCAGACGACATCTTACCGCCGCCCCTTTTATCAATCAAGGACATCACCCCTAGTGTCTCGGATCAAAGCCAAGGTGATGATGAAATGGACTTCGACCGGCGAGATCGAGCTCGCCTGTCTCCCAGCCCAGAGGTGGAGCTATACTCACCTGACCTGGATCATGATGACCCCATGGAGCTCCCAACACCGGGAGAGCACTTCAGTGCCCGGAGCAGTCTGAACCCGGATGGCACTCCTGACGTTCGTCGCAAATCCAACCGGGCACCGAGCCCACCGCTGGAGGATGACGAGCGGGGCTTCACAGAGACCGCAACTGCTGTTCGGGCTCGTGGTATGAGCCTGCACAATCCCACTGTCCAGGCCTCGATAGAACTGAATGAGAAGCCTCAGGGCGCTGAAGTCTCAGAAGAAACCCCAGAGCAGCGCCAAAAACGTGATCGGGAACTCGGCTTGGCTCTGTTTGGTCATGCGCACCAAGCTCTTCACATCCCTGAGCAGAAGGTGTTGGCAAGCAGCCCAATGATGCAGGCTAAACCTGACCATCATGCCAGCGTGACCAAGGTAAACTTGTCACTCGATCTGGATGATATCGAGATGGGAGTGGCCTCTTGGAGTATGATGAGCCCTGAACAGATCGATGTCGAGGATCTCGATGAGATGTTCGTGGGGTTCTAAGCGACCACTGTCAAGGCTTTGGCGGAATTTGTGATTTCCTGCTACCTCTCTACTCTGAACTCTATCCCTGCCATCTCCACTGTATTGCATCTGTGCTGGTTAGCGATTGTTTTACCATCGACCCTGGGCATCTTCGACCGTCATGCTGGTACTCTCGGGTTCTTCTTGCATTGTTTGCAGCGACATGGAAGACTTTGTTCGTTTAGGACCATGTCTTTACGAGAAAGACGAGATTTGTAGCATTAGAGACGCTTGTTGGCTGATAGAGGCGAAAGGCTCGTTTGGCCAAGTTGATACTTGCTCCGGAGGATCAAAGAACACGTGTATTATCTGAAAACCAAGAGACTTTTCTCTAATTGGCCAAGAAATCCCCGTGAGCTTCGTCGTCGAGGTATTGAATTAAACCTGTCAGTCCACTTCTGGAGTCGGCTGCTTGGTGTGATATGCGGGCCGCTGTCTGTGTACTCGGAGAGGAGCACAACAAGAGCTCTCGACTTGGCATGTTTGCTGCATGGCATATGTTTCATTCCGCCGAACACATCGACGGCGGAATTACGCGAAAGGAAACCAATGGAGGATCGATAGTGGGAGCGCGGTAAGGGCTGTCTGCATCTTCTTCACCTCTCAAAGGGTATGAGTAATTTATCTATCCCTGAAGTCGTCAAATGAAACTTAGCGCAAACGAATGCAAAGTATAAGCGGCGGCCGCTCTTTCTTGCTCATCGGAGAGTTTCTAACCTGTTTTCAGCATGGTCTAGGTGTTGGAGAGTATATTCTTTACGTTGTTGTATTGGGTGTGTAGAGCAGCGGGGACCACATGGTGTGTTTCGTCAGACGACTTTTGTGATAAAGAGAGTAGGTTCTTCCAATGCTCATCTTGAGCGATGGGGGTGTTTCTTTGCAGAGCTGTACGGCTCCGTCCACCGCGCGATCTTGGATACCTCTTCGGACAAGTTCGGTGACAGCGTCGCTCGTCGAATTGCTGGATTCAACAGGTCCCTTCTGGTTCTGTCAAGAGATCTGTCACACCTCGAATTGAGCTTGAGGGCACCAAGCACGGCGCCGTTGAATGAACGGCATATCGAGGTGCATCCATTGAGGCGAGAGCTTGCTATGTCAGACCGGAAAAGAGTCTTCACTCTGAACTGCTTATGACTGTGTCGCCTCAATACACAGTACATACTCCGTAGTAGTTTGAGCATCCACGGGCGACGGCTTCAGGTTATGGGGTTCAACACAGAACAGACTCGATTGATCTCTCGTAGCCAATCACGTCAGTTTGAAATGGCACTAGGCCAAGTATAGCTTAGTCCAGGTCACGCCCCCCTTCGGCACCGACGCGTTTCTTGCCTTCAAGCAAATGAACAATCCCAGTGCCTTTCCCCCCTCACATTTCACTGTGAAGGGACTTCGTAAAGGAACTATTGCTTTGAATGAAGCAATTCAGCTAGCTTCTCGCTGGCTACCAATCTAGGATGAATCCGTGAATGTCGGTGCCAGGACTTCGTCAGCGCGACGCAAGGTGACTGCGCTTACAGAACACGTCTTTTGCGAGCGGTCCACCTATGGAGGAACCATCACAGGCACTCTTGCATATGGCCTCTGAGTTCGACCCCGCCTATGTCCAGGAAGCGTCGGAAGGTCGCCGTACCACCAGTACAGTCTTGTCCTTGACAACGGGGACTGGCTACAGCGTGTACAAATCCACAATCATACCCGCGATCAAGAGGGCGGAACGAGAAGTCATACTTGTGACTTGCTTCTGGGCGGCGTCGGTCACGCGGGATCTGATTAACGAGGCTCTGGTACATCTCTCGGAGAAGGGCCTATCTTCCTCCAAGAAGATATCAGTACGCATATGTTTCTCTTCTGCATCCCTGGCGCGGAATATGCTCCTACCGACACCGAAGGAGGGCCAACACTATCCATCTTCGTCGTGGAAGAAGATAGGTTTGCCGCGGCCAGAAGAGCTCAAAGGTCTCAACATGCGGGTCAGCCGTAAGTTTTTTTGGCCGTTCGGCATCATCCACTCAAAGTATGTTGTGGTGGACCGGGAGTTGGCCATCTTCCCGTCCTGCAATGTGTCGTGGGAGAGGTGGTTTGAAGTGGCTGTCTCCTGCAGGGGTTCCGTAGTTGGGCACTTATTATCGTTTCACGGGGTGTTTTGGGACGACGAGCTGTCGGTGGCAGCAGCCTCTGAAGGTGCTGCAGAGGATGGCGCGCACGAACCTACTGCTACTTCTACTGGTACCGGTGGTGGTAGCAACTCGACTCCGAACCACGTTATACCCGCCCCGACCACGCTCTTGCCGTCACCTCATACGCCATCTCTGCTTCCGAATCACCTGCAACTGCAGACCCTCGCCGGCCACTGCCCTTGCCTGCCAGCTACGACGTCCACGCCAGCTTTCCACCCAACCCCACTCTTGCGGACCACATTTCACTTGCTGGCCACGGCACAATCCAGCATCATTTTGCTCACCCCAAATCTCACGGAGCCGACCGTTGTTGACCTCCTGCTGCAAGCTCTTGCGCGTGGGGTCAGTGTACGGGTTTGGACAAACCGCACGCTTATGACAATGGAGCAGCTGGTAACTGCCGGCACGACCACTCCGGCATCCATCCAGAGACTCAGAAGACGCGCAGAACAGATGGAAAGCGATGGTCGTCTGGAGGTGTCGTACTTTGACAGCGACGATGGTCCGGGTACACAACACCCTGTCTTGCGCGAGATTGAGCAGTACCGAGACACAGTCCCCATCAAGCTACATGCCAAAGTGACGATAGTTGACGGCGAGAAGATATTGTTAGGAAGTGGAAACATGGATGCTGCGAGCTGGAAGACGAGCCAAGAGCTCGGGATCATGATTGAGAGTCCTGCCGTGGTCGACGAGTTCATGAAACTGTGGAAGTATGACAAGCTTGGAGTATGACATTGGGTCTGGAAGGCGGTATCCCACAATCTGCATTGCACCAACTCGAATTCCCAGCAGCGGTGGCCTACCCTCCTACCCAGGAGGGCGACTTGTTGACCAGCATATATTACATTCATGCCTTTGTCCCCGGTCGGCGAAGAAGCATGAGCGGCTTCCCTGCCGAGACCACATCGTTCGGTTTGACGAGGAGTTTCTCCACAATTGCGCCCTCCATACTTTGTTCGGCTTTGACGGGAATTTCCAACTTCATGGCCTCTAAGATGGAAACGACCTGCTCGAGTTTGACGGCATCACCTTCCCTGACTTCCACTTTCCATACATTGGCGTTCAAGGGTGCTTCCACAGCAATGATATCCGGATCTGCAGAAAGTTAGGTCATGCGGCGCAATGGACGGAACGAGTACTGAGGAGGGCAAGTGGGTTGGAGGGGACAAACCGTGCATCAACTCTTCAACCGTGTCCATGCTAATCTTGCCGGCTTCCTTCTCCTTGTTCCATTTCTCGAGAAGTTCCTTCTCCAGCTTGTCCATTTCAGCCTGGGCTTTCCGCTGTTTGGCACGGATCTGCTCGACCTCGTCCTTTGTGTCTCTCAACAGCTTGTTATGTTCCTTCATGTCAAACTCAGTGTCCTCGTACTGATACTCGTACCGGCCACTGCGGAAGACTGCCATCATCGCTTCGTATTCGTCCTCGGTGACCTCATAGAAGGTGATCTGGTCAAAGTCCTCGAAAAGCCACGGTCTTTCGGAAGTATAACCCTTCTTAAAGCCAAGAATGTCCGCGCCGGGGATGGAGAGGCCCGTGTTCATGTACCCGCCGGGAGATTCGACGTTGTACAATGCCATGCAGGAGCCGCCCCACCCGACTTGGCCTTCCGGAGTGTGCACGCGAGAGGGATTCATCTTCGGGCACTGAATCCGCTGTCGAGGATCGATAGGCAGAGCGATTGGCAGAGCGACGAAGAAGCCGACAGCGACCACCATCAGCGACGACTTGGTGTAGATGTCACGAAGCTACCGAGCATCAGCAGCTGCAACCCACTCAGAAAGACCGCTTACCTGTTGCATGGAAAAGGCATTATTCTTGGCCACAAATTCCATCGGGTCAGGGAGATATGAAGCGTACGGTCGCTGCGTCTCCATATATCTCTGCAAGCTCTCCTTCTGCCTCTTGCTCTCGAAGGTAATCGGGAGTTTGTACTTGCGGCTCGGAAACTTGGCTTCACTCAGGTCGCCCAGTTCAGTCTCGAGCTTCAGCAAATGATCCAGCATGGTCTGCCGGGGCACCTTTGTGGAATCATAGTAGAGCATGAGGGAATTGCCGCACGCCATGCCGGTATGGAGCGCGCCATTTGTGAACGAAACCTCTCCAGTCGACTCTCGAAGCTTACGATACAGCGCAACCGCACGGCATCGGTAATTCAGATCGAATGAGCCGTGGCCGTAGTCGATCAGAATGAAGTCATCAGCACCCTGCCTGTACGAGACCAGGGGCTGATGCTTTCCCGAGTCTTCTTGAATTTGATGGATGATCGCAGGCTCCCAGCCCTTGTTGTGCACCGAGCCGGGGAATTCGTCATACTTCAAGGGAGCCACGTCCTCGAACTTCGATTTCCCATTACAGCATTCGTGGACCGCGCCGAGGAATGTTTCAACCTCTTTTCGCTTGGCCATGGCGTCCTGGTACGACACCCGCTGGAACTTCAACTTGTTGCCAGCTTTCATCTGCCCCAAGCGCCAATAGTCGGCTTTAATGATTGTGGTCGCCGAGACAAAGCCACCAAAGTCCGGAGCATCGATGGGGAACAGACACGGGTCGTCTCCTGTCCAATTCACCGTGCCGATGGGGTAGCCGTACTCGATCACGTTGCTAGGATCTGAGGGTATACGTGAGCCTGGACGGAAGTCGACCGTAAAACGCTATGTTGTATGATGGAGGTTTTTGGGAAGAAAATACTCACGAGCGCCGCCTTCGCCACCATCAGGCCTCGCCCATTTGGGCTTTGGGCCTATGAGGCGTATTCCTCCTCGCGCGGCATTGTGCGAGATCGTCCAGGTGGTGTCGTAGAACTCCTCGATGGATTCGGAGGTGATGAAGCCTTCGTCGTATGGACCGGGCATGGCGAAAAGGTCCCATTCTGTGGGGTACGATGGGATCAAATTGTCGGGTAGCTTCAACTCGCCACTGATCTTGGGGAGGTCTTTGGTAATGGTCAGGAGGTCTCCCGCAGCGAGGGCTCTCCCCTGATAGCCACCCACGCCGGTCATGGGGGCTGTTGACTTGGACCCGAACCACGTTGCGATACTGGGTAATCCTCCGTGAATCGCTAGGTACGACCTGCAGCCCCCGCCTGTGGTTTTGCCGATGGTCAATCGCTGGCCGGCTTCGACCGTCAGCCGCGTCCACATGGGCATATCCCTGCCATCTAATTTGACTTCCATGGGGGCTCCGCAGATAGCAATAATGGCCGCGCCCAGAAACTTCAGATCCGGTCCGCTCAAGGTGATCTCCATGCCTTCCTTGCCGGGAGGGTTTCCCACCAGAGCGTTCGCTATCCGGAATGCAAGCGGATCCATGGGTCCTGAATGGGAGAACCCTTTCCCAATGGTAGGGCGGCCAGGCCAGTCTTCTACCAGAGTGTATGCGCCGCCTTGGAGGACGTCTATTGCCGAAGGCTGATACTTGAAGGAATCCAAGAACTTGGTCATTGTCCTGCCGGACTTGAAGGTCTCGTCCTTCAGGATGCTTGCGAGGAAGTCCATGTTGGTGGGTGGCCCGAAGATCTTCGACCCGTCCAGCATTTCGGCCATCAATCGGATGGATTCGGCCCTCTCCGATGCATGCACCATGACTTTGGCGAGCAGGGGATCGTAGAACGAAGTCACCTTCGTGCCGGTGTGGATCCATCCGTCGATGCGACATCCAGGCACTTCCTTCCACGAGACGTGCTGCAACGTGCCCGGCGAGGGTGCGTAGTCTTTGGCTGGGTTTTCGGCATATACGCGCACTTCGATCGCCGCGCCGGACGGACCCTCGGGCTGTAACTTCCGCAGATAGTCACCATCAAGCCCGCCTGAGCCTGAAAGCTGTGCGTCAGCTTGCTTCAGCATCAGCTCGACCAGGTCGACACCGTAGCACATCTCCGTGATGCCGTGCTCGACCTGCAACCGCGTGTTCATCTCCAAGAAGAAGAAATCCCCCGACTCGTCGTCGACAAGGTATTCAATGGTTCCGGCGGAGCCGTACTTGATAGACTCGGCCAACCGGACAGCCGCGCCACCCAGCTTCGCGCGCAGCTCTGGATGTTTGACGACAAAAGGGCTGGGGCATTCTTCCACTACTTTCTGGTGTCGACGCTGGATGGAGCATTCGCGCTCGCCGAAATGGATCGCCTGGCCCTGGCCATTGCCAAAGACTTGGACTTCAATGTGATGGGACGAGGGATAGAACTTCTCAATGAACAGACCGGAGTTCTTGAACAGCGTCTCGCCACGAGACTGCACGGTTTTAAATGATTCTCGGACTTCCTCCTCGCTGTTGCATGTCAACAGGCCCATCCCACCCCCTCCTGCCGTTGCCTTCAACATGACCTGAAGCAGTGTCAGAACCGTCCGGGCTTTTTCTTCTGGTCTGTACAAGGGTAAATGAGCAAGGTGTGCTCAAGGCTCTTTACCGGAAATCCCAATTTCTTCGCCTCCCCGACGGCCTCATCCTCCGACTGTACTAGACCTCGCGTCCCAGGCACGATCGGAACGTCCGCTTTGGCGGCGAGCTCGCGGGCCGTGTGCTTGATCCCGAAGTCGTCGATGCACTTCGAGCTCGGACCCACGAATACCATCCCCGCCTCCGAGACCTGTCGGGCGAAATCCGTGTTTTCGGATAGGAAGCCATAGCCTGGAATGACGGCGTCTGCTCCCTTGGATTTGGCGATCCTCACGATCTGCTCGCCGTCGATGTAGCCTTTTGCGTCCGGGCCCGAGAGAAGGACCGCCTCGTCCGCGGCGCCAACATGTGCCGACGCAGCGTCAGCGCCCGTGTAGATGGAGATGGTCTTGACGCCGAGTTTTCGAGCGGTCTTGCATATCCGGACCGCGATCTCTCCCCGATTCGCGACCAGCAGTGTCTTCAACTTCTGCATCCTGGCTCGGTGGTGATGTGGTGAGGTGATGAAGTGATATGGACAGCTTTCGCATGGACGGCCGCCGACGAGCAGGTCAGCCGGTTGGAAGTCGAAAGGGTCATTGGCATTATCAAGATATTTCCTGGGCGAACCTTGATATCAGTCGAGCCACCTGCGGTCATTGGACATGATTGCAGGGATTTCCCGATGCGTGTGCATAATGCGTGATGAAGAGCGGGGAGCGCGAGTCTATCACTCCACCCCCCTCCCTCGACTCGTTCTTCTCCGCTATCAGAGTGACGTATGGCACGGATGTCTTCGCTCTTTAATATACTGGGCATTTCCTGTGAGCCGAGGGCAGGCCCAGTGCACGAGGAAGGAAGTGATCCGATCTGTATTATCGAGTTGTTAGCTTTAACCGTTGGAGTTGCCCTTGGAAGTGACGCCGCTGGCTAGTACGCTTCGCCCTCCCCAGAATATTGGTAGTTCGTCTACACATACAGACGTCGGACGTCCATACCGGAACCCAAGATGGCACCACCGCCAATCAAACACAAAGCCCTACTCAATGTGGATTTGGGAGAGGCTGTAAGTCATCGACATGTCCTGAGTTGTCGCTGACCCGAACTGTATATTTGACGAGAGGATAGTACGGAAACTATGTGAGTTCTCCAAGACGGTACTGTGTTTGCCGGCGTTGTGCATTGTCTCGTCGGCAGCGGTGACACCGGTGCTTGGTACCTGTTACAGACTAACGGGGCATTGCAGGTCTGTGGCCCCGACCTGGAACTCCTACCGCTCATCGACCATGCCAATGTCGCGTGCGGCTTTCATGCCGGTGATCCCTTGATAATGCAGGAAACCGTGCGGAACTGCA